CGAAGCGAGAGAAATCCACGTCCAGAAGGAACGTGTTGCCGGAGGTAGGTCGCGGAGGCTCTGAAGTGACGTATCCAACTTACCCAAGTACTGTTTACATGCGACACATTGTGATGCCATATTGCGTGATGTTATGTAGCCCCCCACCCCCCCACCGGAGTCGCACCACTCCCTTCGACCACTCCCAGCCAAGCCTTCCTGGGCCAGCTGCTGTTCGGAAAACCATTGATTTTGGCCTCTTGGGCCTCCGGTGTCCCAAGAGGGCCTCAAGACGCCTCAAGATGGCCTCAAGACGGCCTCAAGACGGCCTCAACTGGCCCAAAGAGGGCCCAGGATGACCCCAAGAGGCCCCCACGACGGCCCAAGATGGCCCCAAGAGGACCCCCAAGACGGCCTCCGGAGGCCAAAAACATCGACTTCCCGTAGGGGTTCAAAAGATTGGGGCGCCCTCGCGCTGTTAGAACCTCGGGGGCCCATGGCGGCCCAAGTAGCCTCCAAGACGGCCCCTGAGATCCAGGATGGCCCAAAGAGGCCCCCAGGCATCGTTGACCTCTCATCATGACTACATGATAGGCTTGGTTTTCATTGCGAAATGAACGCACGTCTCTGCGAAGCCAAAGTGTTACATAACTTGTGCCATGTAAGCGCCCATGTGTTGCATAAGTTGTTGCGAAACTGCTGTGTACCCCTACAGAATGGTTTGTGTATTGTAAGAAAGCACTGAACAACGTCAGCGTCACGATCCAAGAGGCCCCTAAGATTGTCCAGGAATGCCCAGAGAGAGCCACATGGCTGCCCCGAGAGGCCGTTCAGACGGCCTCCAAAGAGCCCAGACGGCGCAAGAGCGTCCACGGCCCAAGCCGCTATACCAAGAGGCCTCAAAGCCCCGGAGGCCCCCAGGAAGCCTCCAGGAGGCCCCACAAAGACTGCGCCTGGCCATCGCTCGGACGTCCATTCCCTGTTTTTCTTGTTTGGTTTCGTGCGTGGTTTTCTCGCCAAATGATCAAGGATGCTCCTCGATGGTCCTCGCCGAAGGAAAAATGCACACGTCCGAGCGATGCCAAGTCACTGCACGTGCTCCAGACGTGCACCCTGCGAAACGCAAGGAATCCACGTCTGGAAGTGACGTGTTGCCAGAGGCAGGTCGGGCGAACACGCTACCGCAGCAGATGCAAATTTCTACATCTCGTACCATCTTAAATGATTGCGTAACCCTCCCTACCCCCCTCCCAAGCGCTACACCACATCTGTCGACCAGAAGCGTGACGACCTCTTCTGGGGCTCAAACACATACAACAAGCTAAGCACAACGATGGATGTTGGCCTCATGGGCCTCCTGAAGGTTCAAGAAGGCCGCAAGACGGCTCAAGATGGTTCAAGACGGCCCAAGACGGCCCCAGGACGGCCCAAGATGATCCCAAGAGGGCACAAGATGCCCCCAAGGACGTCCCTGGAGATCTCCAGGAAGACCCCCAAGAGCGCGTCCGGAGTCCTAAAACATAGATGTTGGCTTTTGAACTGCTGTGGCGTTCTCGCCTTTTTGGACTGGCCAGGAAAGCCACGAAACGCCCAAAGCTCGAACCAAGATGCCCAAGGTGGCCTACAGATCGCCCAAGGGGCCTTCAAGACGCCCAAACATGCTTCCAAGAGGCCCCCAGGCCTCCCTAGAGGACCTGAAGAGGCAAAAGCCACTGTTTTGCTTTGGTATCGCCTTTTCGGCTTTCCGCCGCTCCAAGACGGCCCAACGAAGACCGCCCCAAACTGCCAAAGAGGCCTCCAAGAGGGCCCCACGACGACCTAAGAGCGTCCCAAGACGAGCCAAGAGGCGCCCAAGACGGCCCAAGAGGGCCCCAAGACGGCCCCCAAAGAGTCCCAATAGAGGGAACACGAAGCGAAAATCCGAGCCTTCCGCCCCAAGAGGCCCCCAGATGCCCCAAGAGGCACCCAGACGGCCCCGAAGAGGCCCCCAAACTGCCTCCAATAGGTTCCCGAGAGGCCTCCCACGAGATCCCAACGAACATCCAGTAGGCTTCATACCCACAGCCCAGGCACGGTGGCGGGATGGGCCGAAGAGACCTCCTGGATGGTGTCCGAGTAAATGGGTTCGGAGGATCGCGCCGCATCGCCGATGCATCGCCGACGCATCGACGAAGCATCGGCGTTGTGGGCGATGCATCCGCGCCGTCGGCGTGGAGAACGTCGGGCTCCACATCGAGCCGCATCGCCGATGCATCGGCGATGCGGCGCGATCATCCAACACCATCTACTCCGACCCTATCTAGGAGACTTGCACGCTCACCCACACACACACACTCACAGACACACACACACACACAAACACACACACACACACACGCACGCACGCACGCACGCACACGCACACGCACACGCACACGCACACGCACACGCACACGCACACGCACACGCGCACGCGCACGCGCACGCGTACGCACACGCACACGCGCACGCGCACGCGTACGCACACGCACACGCACACGCACACGCACACGCACGCGCACACGCCCGCGCACACGCACACGCAACGCAAACCACACACACACACACACACTCCACACACTCCCCACAAACACACACACACACACACACACACACACTAACAAGCACACAAACACACAAACACACAAACACGCAAACACGCAAACACACAAACACACACGCACACACAGACTTGGGCTAACGCACGTCCCCCAGAAATCCGGACCTCTTCCCTGGGGCCAACTCCTCATCCCGAGCCGCTTCTTGACGGCCCCCGGGCCCGGCGAGGGCACCCGGGGGCCCGGCACCCGGGGGCCCAAGGCCTACCCGAACAGAAGTGCCCTCTGGGCCGGCGGAGAAGGCCGCGCACCGGCGTGGCCGCGCGGGGGCGGCGGCTGCCCGCGGCGGCCCTCCCCGTGCACGCCCCGCCCTGGGCCCAAGAGCGGCCCCAGATGCCATCCAGATGCAAACTCTTTCGCAGGCCGCTGGGCGAGCTCCGCGCCCGTAGCGTCAGTCGAGGGGCCTCCTCCTCCTCCTCCTCGCTCCTCGCTCCTCCTCCTCCTCCTCCTCCTGCTCCTCCTCCTCCTCTTCCTCCTCCTCCTCCTCGCTCCTCGCGCCTCTTCGCTCCTCCTCCACCCCCGCCTCCTCCTAATCCTCCTCCTCCTCCTCCCTCCCCCTCCTCCCTCCCCCTCGCGCCTCCTCGCTCCTCCTCCTCCCCCGCCTCCTCCTAATCCTCCTCCTCCTCCTCCTCCTCCTCCTCCTCCCCCTCCTCCTCCCCCTCGCGCCTCCTCGCTCCTCTCCTCCTTCCCCGCCTCCTCCAAATCCTCCTCCTCCTCCTCCTCCTCCTCCTCCCTCCTCCTCCTCCTTTACCTCGCTCCTCCTCGCTCCTCCTGCTAACTCCTCATTCTGCTCCTCCTCCTCCTCCTCCGCCTCCTCCTCCTCCTCCTCCTCGCTCCTCGCTCCTCGCTCCTCGCTCCTCCTGCTCCTCCTGCTCCTCGCTCCTCCTCCTCCTCCTCCTCCTCCTCCTCCTCCTCCTCCTCCTCCTCTCCCTCCTCGCTCCTCGCCACGAGCACGCCAACAGCGCAGCAGTGCTGCGCTATGGGCCAGCCGAGGGGGCGAAGCCGTGCTGCTCGCCCCGCCGGGCTGCCCCGCGCCGCCTCCGGCGGGGCTGCGGGGGGGGGGGGCGGCTGCGGCTCGCGGGGCGGCCCTCACGGCGCGCACTTCACCACCCAGTCGAAGGCCTCCGCCGCTCCGGCCGGGGCGCACCGCGCCAGCGTGATGCGCTGCCCAAACAATAGAAGGCAGCAACTCCCCCCCCTGAGAATTACCCCGACAAGCGAAGTCGTTTGGCAAACGCACCCAAGGAAGGAATCGAACAGGGTAAAGTCCCTTTCGCTGGGGTCATGAGCAGAAGAGGAGGGAGACCGGCAGGAGAAGGACCGAGACCTCCAACGTCTCGAGAAGCTGAAGGCGGAGGTCTTCATCGCAATGTTCCGCCCCTGGGGGCCTTCGCTGGGCCCCAGGACCGTCAACAAAAACCAGCTCGGGATGAAGAGCTGGCCCCTGGGAAAGGGTCGGGACCTCTGGGGACCCCAGACGTGGAAACGCATGACTGGAGCGCAGCACAGCACACAGAAGGAGCAGCACAGCACGCCGAGGAGACGAGGCAAAAGGAGGGCAGAGCGGAGCGATTTCCCACGATGCCCCCCCGCCCTCGCCCACTCCCCCAAAGGGCGGTGGAAGCGGGCGGAGGGCGAAGGGCAGCATCGTCCATCGACTCTGATGCCCGCAACGTGGGCGTGACCTGGTGGGAGGAGTGACAGGAGGTCGGCTTGCTGCTGGGCATGGAGGATGTAGAAGAGGCTCCATCATGGAGGGTGCAGGCGTGTCGAGCGCGGAGAGCTGTTGCGCGTGCGCGAGAGGCGCCCCACTGCCAACAACGACCTGCATCCCTCACCCATCTCTTTGCCCTGTTTCTCTCATTGCTTCAGGGTCTCTTGCCTCCCCTCGTGGTGGAGTAAGAGAGGGAGTGATGGTGGGATGGCGTGGCGGTGGTAGGGAGTGGTGGTGGCAGCGGCAATGGTGGTGGGAGGGAGCGAGAAGGGGAGTGGTGGTGAAAGCAAGGGAGGACGGAGGAGATGGGTGCAACAACTGGGTAGAAAATGTGATGGTGATGACGGCGATGATGACGGTACATACATGTATATTTAGAAAGCCGCACGATCGGAGCGCGGGTCCACTCAAGCGCCGCCCAGACTAGCGTTGGGCCCCGTTTGGTTCAATGAAGACTCTGGGCGGCCCCACGGAGCCTGCGAGCGTAAGGCGGGCGTGTGGCGAGTCGTTGGGCGTGCGTTAGAACTTTACGTTGGCATCCTGTGTGCTAATAGTTTTGAGCATGCCTAAGCCCTCAGCGAGTTTAGAATGGCCGTCCTGGGTACAGTCGCTGACATGCCTAAGCCCTAAACTGGTATGGACTGGCGGCGTCCTGAAGAGAATCCGCGACCGTGCCGCGAGGAACGAGTTGGAGTGCCCTGAAGTCCCTTGTAGTCCTCAGTGCGGAGACATTGGCTCGAGGTCATCCCTTCCTTCTCTGCCCTCGTATCTAGTCCAGGAGCTGTGCACTTGCCTCGGGCCTGCCTCAGCTCGTAAACCGCACTTCGTGTGCAGAGAGGTTGCATGCACAACGTGCAATGCCTCTTTCCAAAGGTATCGCGCTAGACGCCATGCAGACGCTATTCAATTCTGAGGGCTGAGGACTCCGCAGTCCTCAGAATTGAATACATGAAAAGGACACGACCACACATTGCCAACGTTTCCAGGATTCCCCGCACGCTTCCCGCGGTTCCCTTGCGCTTCGGCACTACTTCTTCTTAACCAAGAGCGCCTCAAAACGGGCCAAGACGGCCCCGAGACTCCTGTGGTTTGCCACTGGTGTGCACGGAGTTTCAAACGTTAGGTAGCTTCTGGTCCTTTCCAAAAGTTCCCAGAAGCCTTCGGCCCGATGCGCTGGCCACCCAGAAAGACGCACAAAAAACGACCTCCATGTGCCTATTCCACCCCGTAAGTGGTGTGTTTCTAGAAATGCCCCTGACCAGGATTTCCCCTCCATATGTCTTTTCAACCCCGTGCGGATCCATAAACTTCCCAGGTCATCGGTCTTCCTGCTCCAGACGGTCTCCAAGACGCCTCAGGATGGTCCCCGAGACGACCACGATGGCCCCAAGAGAGCCCTAGAATGCCCCCAGGACGCCTCCAAGGCGGGCCGAACTGCCTCCCAGATAGGCCACGATGGCCCCAAGATCGCCCGCGACGGCCCAAGAGGCCTCCGAGAGAAGACCTCCAACACGGCCCACAAGGTCGAAATCATTGATGTCCCGTAGGTTTTGGAAGGAATCTGGAGTTTGCGTATTTTCAGCTTTCCGACGGCTCGAGACGGCCCATGGAGGCCACCATGAGAGGCCCTCGAGGTGGCCCCCTGGCGGTCCAATAGGCCACCAGGCCCCAAGAGGGCCTTAAGACGGCCCAGGAGACCTCCAGGACGCCCACGATTGTCCCCAACACGGTCCTGAAGCGCTCCAAGGAGGCCCCAAATCGGCACAAAGGACCCCAGGACGTCTTCCGACGGCCCTCAGACGGGCCGGGAACGCCCTCAGACGGCCAATGGGCCTCCAAAGGAGCCTCCAAAGGGCCCCAAGAGGCGCAAGGAAGCCCCCAAGAGGCATCCAATGGGCCCCCCAGGAAGCTTCCAGGAGACCCAAAGAGTGCCCAAAGAGGCTCGCAAGAAGCCTCCTCCTCCTTCTTCTTTTCCCTTGCTCTCCTCCGATAGGGATTATGATGATGATGATGATGATGATGATGATGATGCTGATGATGATGATGATGATGATGATAATGATAATGATAATGATAATGATAATGATAATGATAATGATGATGATGATGATGATGATGGTGATGATGATGATGATGATGATGATGATGATGATGATGATGATGATGATGATGATGATGATGATGATGATTATCATTAGTATTACTACTACGAGTAGTATTATTATTCTTATGTTTCTTCTTCCTCCCCGACTTGTTCTCCGAAGGGCTTCCACAACGACTGGGGGAACACTTAGTCTGATAGCTTGGCCGAGCTCTGGCCACAACGTTCGGCCATATAGGCGCTTCCGAAAGGCAGGGGGCAGCGGTGACTCGCCGTAGTCGTCTTCGATCCGGCACCCCCTGCTGGCTTGCCGCAGGGGGTGCACGGCGTGCCGAATGTTGGTCGTGTCTTGTTGTCTGCTCGTATGTTCCTTGGCGTTTTTTCTTTTAAAAAAAGAAAGTCCCAGAGGCCTTCGGCCGACTGCGCCAGCCACCTGAAGGTTGGAGGCCTGGAAATGGGCACCAACACCAACACAGGGGTTTGCCTCCACAGGGGGAAGATGATCCTGGATTTCGGTGTTGGTGGTAATATGTCGGTCACCTTGGAAGCCAGAATATTACCACCATCACCGATATCGAGATCTTCTTCCCTCGGTGGAGGCACACCGCCGATATTGGTGTTGGTGTCAATCTCTAGGCCTGCGATTACTCCAGATTTCGTAACAAAAGGGAGGGGGTCTGGACCCTCCAAGACAAGCCATTTCAGACCTCCCCCGTGGGAGAACGAACCCTCCAAAACATCGTCCACAGACCCCCCCAAGCCCTCCAAGATAGCCTGGAAGAGACCCCCCCGAAATGAGACCCCCCTCCCTTTATTACGAAATCTGGAGTAGAAACATTTTTTCCTGATAGTTCTGCACAATTTTCTGACCGGAGGAGAACGATTTTAAACATAGTTTTCCAGCCCGCGGCCGGTTTTTTCTAATCGTCATCCCGGGCGCCGCCCCGTGAACACGACCCCCAGTCATTTATCAATCGTCATCCTCCATGAAGGACCCGTGGACTTTCCAGGTGGGCGGTCGTCCTGCTCCAAGACCGCCAGTACGGCTGAAGATGCCCGCCGAGAGGCCTCCACGACGTCTAAGGTGGCCCCAGGAGAGCCCAAGGAGGCCGCAGGATGTTTCCGAGACGGCCCAGGATGCACCGAAGATGGCCCCAAGCGGCCCCAAGATAGCTCAAGACGACCCGAGAGGCCCCCAAGAGTCCTCCGAGCCTTCGATCTTCGAACTGCCGCCCCCTGTGGCTTGCCACAGGGGTGCACAGAGGGCCCAGCTTCGGCAGCTCTCCCATCAGTGCTTGCACTGGAGGGGTTCTAGCAGATGTTGAAAGATTTCGGTAGGCGGCTGTAGGGAGCCAGATGCGAACACTACCCCTACCCCCCACGATTTCTGAGGGGGAGGGTGGGGTTCACACCGTTCGGGAGCTCCCGAGCGAAGTGAACCCCACCCTCCCCCTCAGAAATCGTGGGGGGTAGAGGTAGGGTTCGCATCTGGCCCCCTAGGCTGGGACCTCGGGTTCCCGGTTCTGGGCTCCAAGGTTCCAGAAGTTTGGTTCCGGGCCGATTGCGGTGGGCGGCGGGGCTCCCGGGTTTCTGGGTTCCCGGGCTCCTGGCCGCTCTCCTCGTCGATCGGCCGCACCATCGATCTCGTGACCCACCTCTCTATCGATCTCACGACCGATCTCACAGTCGATCTCTCTATCGATCTCACGATCGATCTCATGATAGATCGCACGAGCGATCTCACGATCCATCGCACCATCGATCTCACTGAATCGATTTCACCATGGGTCTCACGACCGACCTTACGATCGTCGTCACTACCGATCCCACGATGGATCTCACTATCGATCTCACAATCGATCTCAGCATCCGTACCACTCATGTGCAAACCATCCACTACTTGGGCTTCTCTCTGGTGCAATTCTCGATCCGTTTTAAAAGTTCCCAGAAGCCGTCGGCCGACTGCGCTGGCCAACCTCGAGGGCGAAGAGAAGGTCTCTCCCGTCGGCTTCCCGCCCCGTGAGGACCCACAACTTTCCCAGGTCGTCGGTCTTCATCCCCCAGGCGACCCAGAGATGGCTCCAAGACGGCCAAGGACGGTGTCCAAAACGGCTACGACGACCCCCAGAGAGCCCCAGATGGCCGCAAGATGTTTCAAAAACGGGCCGAGATGCCCCCAGGATTACCCCAGATGGCCTCAAGATCACATGCGACGGCCGAGGAGGCCTCCAAGACGGCCCAGGAGGCCTCCAAGTGGACCTCCAAGAAGGCACGACGAGACCAAACTCATCGATTTCCCGGCAATGCTTTTTGACGGATTCTGGCGTTTGCTCATTTTCGGATGGCTGTTGGCCTAAGACGGCCCAAGAGGCCGGCAAAATGGCTCCCAAAGAGCCCGAACATCTTCCGAGATGGCCCCCTGGCGGCCGAAGAGGCCCGCAAAACGGCCCCAAGAGGGCCTCAAAACGGCCCAGGAGACCTCCCAAACGCCCCAGGTTGCTCCCAAGACGGTCCTGAACTACCCCCCCATTGGGGCCCAAAGCCGGCCCAACGAAAACCCCAAGACGGCTTCCGACAGCGTCAGACGGGCCGGGAACGCCCTCAAACAGCCGAAGACCCTCCCAGGAAGCCTCCAAAGGCCCCGAGGACTTCTCCGGGAAGCTTCCAGGAAGCCACCAGAATGCCCAGAGAGGCTCCCAAGAGGCCTCCTCCTCCTCCTCCTCCTCCTCCTTCCCCTCCTCTTCTGCTTCCTCCCCCACATGTTCTCCGATAGCTTGGCCGAGCTCTGGCCGCAACGCTCGGCCACAAACGGGACCCACGACTGGCGGGGCGCACGACCGAGTCTGCCGGAGGCGAAGGCCAAACCTCAAGTGCAACGCGGGGGGGAAACGCTCGCAAAACCGGTGGCGTGAGGCTGGCGTTCCAGAGTTCTCCTAATTTGAGCGTTGGCCGCAAGAGGCTGTGGAGGTCCGCAGTGGAGATCCTCGGGGCCGTTTCGACGACCGTTGGCTGCCCGTCCTTTCGGAGCTTGGTGAAGCCGCGCATGGATCTAGCTGGGTCTGCTGAAGCTTTGGACAGCCGCGTGCCCCAATCATCCTCGGCCACCTTCTCCCCATCCTTGGCCACCTGCTCACAAGCCTCCTGAAGGGGGAAGGTCCTCGGCACCGCGAAGCGTGCATCTAGCTTTGCACGAAGACTTTTCCCTGGACAGGAACGCTGCGTTGCAGCATGGATCTGCTGGCAAGCATGCGTGTTGCACACCACCGAACTGGCAATATCAAGCATATCCACGAGGGTCTGGAAGAGCCACTTCCTACCTGCGAAGACCAGGTGCTTATCATCTGGGTTCTTCGGGCGGTACGCAATTGAAGCCCAAGGTGTGTTCACCGTTCTGCTCCGATGTCATAGCAGTTTCGTACCCGTGCCCACAAACGTGCGAAGCTCACTACCAGCACAAGCAACATAATGTCACCAGGCAGTGGGCAGCACTGCCCATGCCGTCTTCAGACTGCCATGCTTGCAACATGCCACAGCTGGGTACGCGTGAACTAGAGCGCTTAACCATACTGCCGTGGCTCTTGTCCGAAAGGTCGAAAGGAAAACGCCAACGAACACGGTATACCAACTGCTAAAATTAAGCAACGCGCTCTGCAACACGAGACGAGCGAGCGCATGCAAATTGATTACTCAGCCAGTGTCCGTGTTGACTTCCTGAACGATGCTAGCCACAGCAAGGCCCATGACGACAAAAACGGCGATGAATTTCGAAACGGCGTACGGCACGACGGAACCGATGGAGACATTATGGTCCTGCCGAACTTCCAGAACTTCCAGTGTCTGATTCCTGATTCCAATCGCCTCCAAAAACCGTGTCCACTCCGCGGTGGATCTACCGACAGCGCTGAGCATCCTCTGGCTGGCCTCGCTGAGGCCATCGGCAGACGTGGGGTGTACCGAACGGCAAAACACCCTGAAACCATCCAGAAGAAACGGGGAACACCTGGATGGCACGGCGTGCGCAGACGTTCCCCTCTCCTTCTGTAGGCCATTGAACCTCTGTAGGCCATCGAAGTCCCACAGCAAGCCGAGCAAGCACTGCGACGCCAGAGCAGAACGTACCTGTATCCGTATTGAGTCGGGCACGGACAGACGGCGAATGTCAACCCATCGACCTTGCGGACCTGCTAGCCTGGCCGGCACATTCCTCGCTGACTCCTACTTCCTGTGCGAACCAAAACAACGGCGCCAACTACGGCCAAAAAGCGGCGCAGCGCGCGCCATGAGGAGCTGTTGAAAGACTCGATGTGGAACTTGGCATCTCCAGTGTGTTTGGTGCTATCAGGGGCACCTCTCGCCGAAAGTACTGGGCAGCATGACGCAGACAAAGAAAACCCCGGGAGCAAGGGCACATCCAGACCATACATAGTGTCACCCACCTCTGCTTGAGGGCCGTGCTGCCCATCCCACGAACAAGGCTTGCAAGCGCACTCACTGTAATGTTCCCCTCTTGTTTCCAAGCAGCGGCCAACGGTAGGTCGATCTGTTCGGAGGCAAGGCCCTGCACATCTATGCCTGCGGGCATTGGGATCTCGGAAGCCCTTGGGGCCTGGAGTTGAGCCCCTGACCCCTGCGAAGCAGCAGTAGCAGCAAAGGGTTCGGGTGGGGAAGGAGGTGCCTTGGTCTGCTTGGCCAGCAGCTCCTCGTACTGCACGAAGACGGACAGCGCCACGACCTGCTGCACCTCCTGCGGGGCGGCTGCGAGGGAGTCGGGGTTGAGCTCCTGCAGGGGTACATCCTGTGGGTTCGCCTTCTGCATCGTGGTGCGCAGCTCGACCTTGTAGGACTCGATCTCGGTCTCGGCTGCCTTGAATTCGGAACTCGGACAATGACTCCTGAGCAGCAGCGGAAGCCGTTTGCTGACCGACGGGCTCGCCCTCCAGCTTTGCCAACTTCTGCTGTGACTTAGCCAGCTTGTGGCCGAGCGTGGTTTGCCTGGTGATGACGGGCTTCGTTCCTTCGCACGACTAGCAGCGGGGTCGGGGTCTCCTGAAAAAGGTGAAAACTGCCCGCGGATCAGCGGCATCCACTTGCTCCGCAGTGGGGCATTGCACTTTGAGCCAAAATGGCTACGGAGAACCCCGCCCCCTTGGGCCGAGGAGAAAGCGGAGGAGGTGGGGGAGGAGGGGAGGAGAAAGGAGGAGAAGAAACGAGGCGGATGGTGGAGGGTGAGCAAGAGATAGAGCGAGAGAGGCCTGCTGTCTCCACAATTACTCAATATGAATACTACTCCCCCTCTTCCCCTGATGGCGTGCTGGGAATACTCGACCCCCCCCCGCGTACTGTCTTTTTAAACACAGGATTCCCGGGAGTTGGGTTTTCGCCTGCGTTTTTTTTCAAAATGCTGCTCTCGCTGAGGCGCCGTCCTCATTTCTGCTCCCGAATCGTTCCGAATCGTGTTCCCGCTGCAGCGTGGGCCTCATTTTCGGATCGGTGTTTTGCCTCCGTCGTTCAGGATGGCGTTCTCGCCCCAGCGCGGGCCTCTTCCTCGCGCGCCCATCCGCCCGCCACCACCGCGCCGCACCACGCCCCGCCCCGCCGCACGCACACCCACCGCCACTTCCACCCACCAACGCACGCACGCACGCACGCGCACCACCACCGCGCACCGCCACCACCACCGCACTACCCCACCCACCACCACCACGCTACACCGCGTCACACCACATCACACGCGCGCACACACAGACACGCACGCACGCACGCACGCACGCACGCACGCACGCACGCACGCACGCACGCACGCACGCACGCACGCACGCACGCACACACACACACACACACACACACACACACACACACACACACACACACGCACACACACACACCACCACCGCCACCACCACCACCGCCATCACGCACGTACGCACCTGGCCCACCACCAAACCACCAAGACGCCACACCACGTCACACCACAGCACACGCGCACACACACACACACATACACACCACCACCACAACAACCACAACCACGCACACACGCACGCACGCACGCGCACCACCACCCACTACGCACACGCGCGCGGAGCCACGGGTCCGCTACGACACGCGTCCGCGGATAGAGAAAATCAGCGCCATGGTAAGGGATGGGAGGGAGGGGTAGGATGTCAGATGTTGACGCGAGCGCACCTAACTTGTCTCCCCCCCTCCCCCAACCTCCTCTCTCCCCGGCGGGAAGCGACGGTTGACTTCATGGGCGAGGCGCTGGAGCGCAGCACAGTATTGCACGAGGCCGGCATGGCAGCCAGCAGACCCTCCACTCTCGAGATGGTGGCCGGCACATGTTCGGGGCCCAGGGGGGGGGGGAGGCTGGCGTGCACGGCGGCTGCCACCTTCGGGATATAGACTGTTGCTGGGCCGGCAGCGCGCGAGGGGGCAAGGCCCGGCCCACGCTGCATGCAAGGCTCAGCAAGTTTAAGGAACGGCGCCCTTGGTAGGGAACCGAACTCCATACACCGACGCCTCTGTCTGGCCTCGCACTGGATCTCGCACAGGAAAGCGGACCCTGGTGTATACGGGATCCTGGTGTATACATCTGTCGTCGCTTCCGCAGAACAAGACGGGGGACAGTATACACCACACCACCCCGACGTCGTCCCCGACCCTCAAACAGTCCTGGGATTGAAAAGCAGCCCGCCAGCGGTAATGTATATTTTCCAGCTTCTGACTCGGATACGAAACCTGCGCGTTGCGTTGGCGCCGACACTTTCAATGTGCTTCGCACGGGGCCTCAGCAAGCATCGCTCGCCTGCTATAGAGGCATGCAAAGACGGCATAAACACAACCTCTTGGCGGTCCTCGCGGATTCCTTGGATCTGAGCCGGAACCCCCTCCCAGGGGCGTCGCCAGAGGCGCCGCCAGAGGCGCCGCAGCGCGGATCCAAGAAACACGCGCGGAGCTCCAACAGTTTATGCTTATGCCGTTTTGTTTTCGTCGACTCCTGGAGCGAAGGCCACGAGAGTGGACAATCTCGAGTTGACCAAGCTGAGAAGTGAATTCCAAAGAGCTGCAGGGCTCAGAGCTCGGACAAGATCTCGCAGCCTCGCCTTCATCCTCCTTGAAGATCTTCTCTGACGCGTCGCGCTGGCCCCAGCCCTGACGTGGGCCGCAATTGTCTGGCAGGCAGCGTGTGCGCCCACCGGCCCGCACTTCTCGGGAGGGCCCCGAAGGCGTCTTCGCTTGGAGTCTGTGGTTATGCGAAGCTCTCACGCAGATGGGGCGCTCAGTGCGAGGCCCTCTACTACCCTCGTCAAGATTAACCTCAAAATGTCTGACGTGGTTGAACTGCTTGTCGGAAGATCTGGGGCCGAGTATCGATGAGTGCGGGGTACTTGCATGCGCCGCCCCTCCAATTTCGGTCGACGTCAAACTTTCGAGTCAACTTCGGTCAGACTATCTTTGCCCTCGCCCCGACATTGAAGGGGCGGCGTGTCGACATTGAGGGGCGCGCCGAAATCGAAATGACGTGCCAGCAACTGTTGAGGTTAATTTTGACGAGGGTAGTAGGAGCTGCAACGCTGCCGTTAGCTAGAATATGACGGGAATTTGAAACCCCTCTGTCGTCAGGGGCCCCAGGGGCGCCACCCCCGTGAGCGCGCAGCCCGAAGCCTTCTTGTCAAGTTCTTGACTGTCCCAAGCTAATGTTTGGCGACTGTGCCGCCTCACAATGCCCTGGATGCGAAATACTGAAATCGGTAGTCTTTATTTTGGCGACGGCGCCTTTGGTGAGCCACTGAGTGTCCTCGGTGCGCTACAGAGATTTGGCGAGGGGCTGGCATACTAGTCGCTCGCCAGCTACGACCTGCTCCTCGCACAGCTAAATTTGGCGGTGACATCGTAAACAACTGGCCCACGGAACAGACTAAACGAAATGTTAGAAAGTGTGGGGAAACCAAAAGGCATCGATACCGCTACTCCCCGGAACTCGCCCGGGGTGCGTTCTGACCAGGATTTCGGGGCGAGGCCAGCGGTGGCGACGAGGGCCTCCCAGGAGGCCCAAGAAGGGAGGCTGGCGGTATGGGTACCTTTCTCTCGCCTGGGAATAAGCCGTACATGGTACCAGTCCTCTCCCCCGGGGCCCTCTCCGCCAAAAAGGGGAGGGTAGCGGTACGGGTGCCTGCCTTTCTCCTCCCCTGAAAGGCAACGGTGCTTGCCCTGTCCCTTCCCTGGGGCGCGCGCCCTCTTTCTGCCGAGCGCGCCCCGTCACACGCTGTGGGCCTCCCAACTCGGGGCCGCTCTGCCGCGGGCGCCGGCGGCCCACTTCCGCAGCCGCCCCGCGCGGGGCAGCGCCCAGCGCACGGCCGCGCGCGCGGCCGCGTGGGCCAGCAGCGCCGCCGCGGCCGCCGCGGCGCCCGCCAGCAGGGCCAGGCGGAGCGCGCCCCACCGCCTCGCGGCGCCGGGCACGGCGGCAGAAGCGGACCGGTGTCGTCGACGCGGTCGTCGCTCTTCCTCCTCCTCCTCCCTCCTCCTCCTCCTCTCTTTTTTTCTTCTTCTTCTTTTTCTTATACTTCTTCTTCTTTTTCCTCCTCCTCCTCCTCCTCCTCCTCCTCCTCCTCCTCCTCCTCCTCCTCCTCCTCCTCCTTCCTCCTGCTGGAAGGAGGAGGAAGAGGAGGAGGAGGAGGAGGAGGAGGAGGAGGAGGGGGAGGAAGAGGAGGAAGAGGAACCGCTGTCGCGGGCCCCGGGGATCCCAACGGAGTGGGTAGTCACGCGGACCCGTTTGCAACCTCGCGGCTCCCTGCGGGGCTACGAACTGCGCAGCGGTCGCCATCTTCGCGGTTTCCTGGGGAGTCCAGCGGGGCGCGAAGTCACGCGGACCCCTTCGGGAACTCGATGCTCCGTGGGAGGTTGCGAACTGCGCAGTTGTCGCCACTTTCGTAGACTCCTTGGAACCTTGGAAGTCCAGCGGACTGGGAAGTTGCGTGCACCCCTTGTTATTTTGTGGCGCCCTGGGAGGTTGCGAACTGTGTAACTGTCGCAGTATTCGCGGCCTTCTGGGAGGCCCAACGGAGTGGGAAGTCACGCGGACTTTTCGGGACCTCGTGATTCCGTGAAGGGCTGCCAATGGTGCACCCGTCGCCACCATCGCATAATCCTGGGACGTCCAAAGGAATGGGTACTTAAGCGGACCCTTTTGGAACCTCGCGGCTCCGTGAACGGGCTTGAGCTGCGCAACTGTCACCACTTCAGCGGGCCGTCGGGAGGTCCAGAGGAATGGGGGAAGCGCTTGAGACCTCGCGGTCTTTTTGGAAGATTGCGAATTGAGCAGATGTCGCCACTTTCGCTGGCCTTTTGTGGAGTCCAGCGCGGAGTTGGGGATTCACGCGGGCACTTTTGAAATCTCGCGGTTCCCTGGGGGGCTGCGGATTGACCAGTTGTCGCCACTTTCGCGGTCTCCTGGAAGGTCCAGCGGAATGGATAATCACGCGGCCTCCTTTGAAACCTCGCGGTTCCGTGGTGGGTTGCGCACTACGCAATTGTCGCCCAGTCTCGTAGGCTCCTGGGAGGTCCAGCGGATCCGGAATTGGTAGTCACGCGGACCCTTTGGGACCTCGCGAACCGAACTGCTCAAGTGTCGCCACTTTCGTAAGCTCTTTGGGACGTCCAACGAAATGGGGCGTCCCGCGAAATACTTTGGGACCTCGCTGCTCCCTGGGTTACGAAGTCTTTAACCGTCGAAATTGTTGTGGGCTCATGGGGGGTCCAGGTCGTCACGTGGGCCCGTCTGGAACCTCGCGGCTACATGAGGGTCTGCGAACTGTGCATATGTAGCCACTTTGTCGGTCTCCTGGAAGGTCCACCGGAGGGGGTAGTCACGCGAACCCTGTTGAGACTTCGTTGTGCTGCTTTAGCGGTGCTGACGGCGATGCTTCAACCTACGACCAGTCGAACATTATGGGGCGCGCGCCCAAACGGCTCGTGGTGCCGTCCCGTCATTTGGCGCGCCGTGCTGTTCCATCACGGAGCGCAAAGCGCTGGAGCGTCACGAAGCGCACGGCGCTGTCCTCAGTGGCCCACTTCCTCCCTTCCTCAAGGACCTGTCGCCCGGAGGGGTGACCCGAACAGGTGTAGCGCATGGCGCTGCTACTCACACCACTAGTGCCCCCCGTCGTTGTCCATCCGCATTGTCCTCCTCCCTCTTCCTTCTCCTCCTCCTCCTCCTTTTACGGTCCCCGTTCTACGTTCCTTGTCGTGCTTGTCGTGCGTGTCGTCGCTGTCCCTTTCGCGATCCGAATCGCTCAGGTGGGAGACGCGCGTGGCATCATATTGCTTGGCGGAGCGTCTCAGGAATTTGCGTACCTCGCAGTGTGATTTTTTGTTTGAACGGGGGGGGGTCGTAGAAATGGTCGCCTCGCGTGGAGAAACAATTGGGTGCGTCACGGGTTTTCTCCTAAAGAACGTCTCGACCACGTTTCAACGGAGGCAAAACCGGAGAACAGAAGAGTCCCGCACGGGTGACAGGAAACCCTGGACGGCCCAGTGCGGCACGGTCTAGCAGCGGACTCGCCTGACACTTCCTCGACATGTATTCCAAACTCGTGCTCCCGTTTCAATACCCGCGACATGGTCCGGACGGCCGCGATCTCCTCTGCAAGCAAAAACGCAACTTACCGTTCAGGGATCGTGCCCTCGCCTCAATGCCAGCTGCGCATTTGGTCCGGACGGCCACGATTCCTTGTCAATTGTACACTGGGGTGCACATGGCCGTGTTCTGACCCCTGTCCCGGCTGCAAGCTTTTCCTTCACAGCGTGTCGCTCGATTGGTTGTAATTGCAGACGATCCATGAGAGCCCCAAGACGGCCCAGCAGGGCCCCAATATGGTCCGAAGAGAGCCCCATGGCGGCCCAAGATGGCCCCACGGCGCCCCACGAAGCACTCAAAATCATGATCCGGTGGTGGGGGGACCGTGGTCTGCAACAAGGTGGCCCGATGCATAAGACGCCAGGAGGCCTCTCGAAGCCTCGTCTTGAAAAGGAGGGCCTTGCACGACACTGATCCTGACGAAGGACCTAACC